AATAAGTAATAACGAAAAATACGATATTACAGGTATATGAAAACTAACTACCAACTAACAAGGAAGTAATTAACGATTCTTAGGACGATAGAAAGCCGAAAGATCTACATACAGAGATACTGTATTGTAATGCAGCAAACTTTTTTATATTTGCTTTTCCATGCGGTGATTAATGCTAACAACGAAAATTTTAATATTTGTATACAAAGCACACAAGGAAGTAAATGAAGGAAAAAATTGTGTCATCAGATGGGTACTGAGTCTGAACTTGGGAAACGATTTTTATTGTCACAGATTTGTAGACCTACTACGGTGTAATCGTTACAGCTAGGTTTCTAAAGATGTACGTCGCGTGTAGAGGGTTACTTATTAAAATGGTTATAACAGTCTACTTGTACCGACCTACGGAACCATCAGGTAAGCGAAGGTTAATTCATACATTCCATATAGGGCTTAGTTGTGGTTTAGTGGGATAAGAGTATTTCGGTGTGAATCTCACCAAAGATAACCCACTAAGTCCGAAGTACAAGAGTCCTTATGGTCTTCAATTGGGAAGTACACCGGGAGACAATCCCCTACTCTTTTCCGAAGTGTGTACTGCGTTCTTTGTTGTGCACATAGCCACCAATGCACACGGGACCAACGGCTTAAACGTCTCATCCGAAAGACAGTGCGATATGAATCGTAAGAAATTCTAAATGTTACGTCGACTGGAAACCAGGCTTTATTTCAGGCCTCCAGCTGAAACACAGGGAGAGCAGCAATGGGAATTGAACCTAGAGACCTCAATGTTCAGCGCACAGAGTGACTACCGCCAGTTCAGCCGCCTAAGCTAATGTAATGTAGTATTAACCATTGGAATTTGTATATCATCGATACCACTTCACACCTGTTAAATGTCTTTGTAATATATCTTAATTAGCAGCTTATTGGTAAACAAGTTATTAAATCATAGAGAAAGAATTTATCTATGATCCAATCAGAAACTCCAAAAGTATAGGGTGACTTAATTGAGACACACCCCTATTACCTTGAGTATAATAGGCAAACACCACACATCACTGATTCGCACCCCCTAAATTGTATTAAGAAAAATAATTGTTGTATTATATTGTTGATATGAATTATTGGTAAGATTTAAAGGTTGAGAGTGCAATTTCTGGGCACCCAGAGGTCCATATTCTCAACATTTTCGCACCTCAGCCCCAACCATCACACATAATTCTTAGATCTCTATGGTTGCCGGAAATCGCCGATAAAAAAAAAAAAAATCATAAAAATTTGTTGGCGCTTTATTTTGACTATATAATGATATAGTGATGTGATGATGAATTTTACTATTATAAATGTGTCATTTCCGGCCATCTACATGTACTAATTCTTCGAATTTTTGCACGCACCCCCTGCCGCCAAATCCTGCATCCGCCCCAGCAGTCAGTAAGTTGTTCTTCACACTTTTTTTAAGCATTCACTTTTAAGTTCCGTTAAACTTCTCCACTAAGCCATTGCACATTGCATGGTATGGGGTGGTTTTGACACTACGAATAGATAGCAACATATTCATTTCGTCCATTAACACAAAAGTAAATTGGAACTCGCGATTGGAAAGCACTTCTTTGAAAAACCCAATTCTCGGGTACATGGACAGAAGTGACTCCGCTATCAATTCCAAAATGTAACGATGACCCCTTGCATGCTTGATTGGCCTTACCAGGTCCACATCAACTCTTTGAAAGGGTTTATCTACGGTGGGCATACTACTAACTTATGTTACCCTCCCTTTTGGAATTATTTGTTGGCATACGTCACATAACTGGCAATATCTTCGAATTTCAGACTCCATACCTGTTCAAAATGTTATCACTTGTTTCCTTAGAGCATAAATTTCCCCAAGATGGATTAATGAGCTAATTTTAATACCATCTCTCAAAGAGGTTTTGGAACGAAAATCAGCCTTCTCATATTTCCACAATCAACTTTAACGGACCGAAACTCTTGCCACGTTATACCATCGACCACAGACTGTTTACCAATTCCAATTCCTACTCTTTTCTCAACACCGCTTTTTGCCAAATCTCTAATGTTATTCAACGTGGGATCTTCCTGTGCTTTAATACAGGTTTCGGGTTCAACATCATTGAAGATTGGCTTTACTTCAGTTTCAGATTTACTCTCTTGTAACCATTGCTACGTTACATTGTACAGATGAAATGTTTAGGGTTCATTGGTTTGTGACACTACTGGTACCTAATTGTCTTCAGGATTACGGGATCCTGAGCCCCTGGAACATTGCCAATTATTAAACCAAAAAGTGGGTTTTCCATACATACTGCGTTAACTAAACCTGTCA